AGGGCTGTCAATAGGGGCTGTAACCTGTAACACCTGCTACAGCTGAGTATGTTTGATGAGTCCTTGATGTTATGGTTGAACTGGACTATAGTTGATACAATTCACCTAAATGGGAGCAAGTTTGTTATGGGTGTGAAGATCAAGGTCACAGTTGACTCAAAACTTAATGAAAGCCCTCACATTCAACTTATCTTCCAGACCCGTTGGCAGAATCAAAAACAATTTACCAGGCATTTAAACACCCTAAAGTTCCTGCAACTGATGTTGGTAATGGACATGTGAAACATGCGTTGGATGTCACAGAGGAGCTTCCAGCAGTGGTACTCGCAGAAAAAGTCCCTGAACAGGCTCCTGAAATAAAGAAACTTAGTGCTGGTATCATCGGTGGTAAGAAAAAAACAGCATCAACCAAACCGCAGAAGACAGATGAAGAATTACTCCAAGAGGCGCTATCAAAGGTACTTAAAATACTCCTAAAAATACTTGAAAAAGCCTATCTCTCATGAACATAAGGGGTTTGAGGTGGCTTGAAAGAGTTCATGAGCAGGTTCATTGGTAGCTCTTTAGCAGGGGTTTGATTAAGGGCTGGACACTGGGCAAATTGGCTGTTAGGATTTGCCCACCTGGTTTGACCACGTAAAGGAAAGTTTCTTTATAACGAAGTTCAGTTCAAAATGTTTTGCCCGCCTGTGAAACTCTGTTGCCCTTCTGCTGAAAAATTTGATGAAACCCCTGCTTTAAGGATTGTGTGAATGATGACATGCAGATAATCTAAACATGATTTATGATGCATTTTTGCTGCTTTTATTTGAGGTGGACCTTGATGAGCTGACTGCAATGCTAACTAACCTGGAGTCATCCTTCCCAAGTAACCCATCTGTAAGTATACAGTGTAGCTTGATAACTACTTCTTCACTTGATTGATAGCTACTACTTCACATATACTGTGAATTATGGATGAATTAGGCTGGTGTTCAAATGTGGCTCATGTATGGCAAAGCTATTTTCAATTTCCAAATGTATACAACATGTAATTTATCCTGACAGTATCTTGTCAAGCAACTGACAATATGTAGAAAAAGCATGTGTGAGCATACATACACATTTGTCAGCCTTAGCAGGGCTCAAAAACAGTGCTGTCCAGTCATCCAGGATAACTAGATTTTCCTGCTGGGCAAGTAACTTTTCATTCTCACTTGGCCAATGGGCAAAGGCCCAGGCAAGTCGTCTGCCAACTAAGAAAAAAAAAACAAAAACATTAAGACATGCCCAGGGCAAGCAAAATTTGAGAGCTACTTGTCCAATGGGCAAGATGGATTTCAAGTTTTTCTTCGAGCACTGCTTAGGAACTACATGTACACCATGATGTTTAACTTATTTCTCTGATGTTGGTGGTTACTCTAATATTGATACAAGCCTAAACGTAACAGTTCTCCAAGGCAGAAAAAAGACCTAAGAATTAAGCAACAATAAACTGGAAATAAACAAGGACAGTTAGAACTGAGGAGATTAGGGCAGATTTCATATGGCAAAGATACTTAAAAAAAATATTGCTAATTTTTAAAGTTGGGGTTTGAAGGCTGTCAGCCTCTTTTTTTCATAAACTTGTGTAATTTCATAGCTTGTGTTATTTTTCCAGAAACAAATTAGTTTGACAAATTAATTTGGAAATTTACAATGTGTTTTAATGTTTTGTCTAAAGTTCATATAAATCTTACATGTATGTTTATATTTTTGTTGTGGTATAGATTTGGTTAACTGATATCGCTGCACACCTTCAGCTCAAGCTTAAAGGTGTTCCTCAAAGAGACCCTGTGTTTGAGGGCAAACCAGCAGGTTGGTACAAAGTTAACAACCACACACATGGCTATCACTAGTGTTCACTGCATGTATAAAGATTTGTCCTTGATGAACTGATTAACATTACCTGTTAGAAAATACCCCAAGGAAAATATGCACACTGGTTGGTTTYAAATTGTGTTTCTATAACTCAATAGAAACACAGAACTAGCATGAGCTGTTGTTGATGATGCGCCTTTGCTGATGGTGGGAGCAAAGAAAATTGTCATTTTGACAAGCTGTTTTTCTTTTTTTCATCGTGGAATTTTCTTAAAGAAATATAAAACATGTATCGTATTTCTCCTGGAAGTTTGAGAGAACTTCAAAAAAGCTGTCGAAACACTTGCCTATTGGCTTGTGTTCCCACAGCATTTCTCATTCTCCCAAACTTCCATTGGTGTAATTTGATAGAAACGTGGTACATGTTTTCTATTTCTTAAATCATCATATCTTTCTTTGATTTCATTCACTCTCCAGACTACCCCATGTGCTTGGTGCCTGCTCAATTGAAGACATTTTTCTTTGACCTGTTGAAGAAATGCACAGAGCCAACACTGAAACTTATCTACCAGCGTTCGGCTGAAAACATGGTGCAGGAACTCAGCAAAGGTGCTGTTACATGTTACAAGCAAGCTTGAACATACAGTCATATACTTTAGAGATATATGCACCAATTGGCAAGAGTATGATAAAGGAAAATGTTTGTACTCTATCCATAGTAGCGCGCACTCTGGAGCTTTTCTCAGTTTCCATAATGATAATATGACAAGATGTACATTCTTTCCTTCTGGAGGGATGCTAGTCTGTTGCAGATCACTCCTCAGCATTTTGTCACATTGCTTTGACTGACAGTTTGCCAATACCCATGATACCCCTTGGTAGAGAGAAGTACTGTGAAAGAAAAGTGCCTTGACCAATAAGACAACACAATGGCTCTGACCGGCACTTGTCAGTGAACGCAGACTGCTTGATACGAGTCAAGTGCGCTAATCTCACCCCCACACCTCCCTTAGCTACAGTGATGTTATCTATATCCCAGTTTAGAGAAAGATGTAATTTAGTTGTTGCTCTTTTAAACCACATCCTTGTTTCCAATGGGAGTCTATCCAGAGACTATCTAAGACACACTTTTGGGAAACCTCTTGTGTTATTTGTTTGTTTTGTTATTGCCGAGGTTTCTCTGCTTATGATTGACTTACAGGTGTATGTCAACACAAAGCTAAGCATTATCTTTGCGTCTTATTACATTGCCTTGTTAACTAAATTTACAGCTTCAACTACATCTTCATTTACTCTGATCCTGAAAGAAATTTCATATGTGCTGCCGTTTCTTACTTATGTTCCTTGATATCTGTGCTCTCTGTATAGGTTCTTCTGCTTATGGTGACCAGATCATGTTGCAATTTATTGTACAGCGCCAGCCACAAATCACCGTGGAAAATTTAAAGGAGGTAATATATACTGAACTCAAACAGAGGGTGAAATTTTTTAAAACTTATCCTATGTTTTCTTAGCCTCATTGTCACTGACAGTGAGTGTGAGAAGTTGATCGTAATACGCTTACAAGCGTGCTTGTCAATTTGCCATACACAGGTACAGGAGATGCTTGTAGCTCGCAAGACTCGCACACGTGAAGCTCTAGCTTTGATGTGGTGTGCAGGGCAGTTACCACAAAAGGACCTATCTCAGGGCTTAGCAGGTTTGTAATCAAGACATCACAAGACAAATTTTAGCTTCTGAAGGCTGCAATGCCTCGTCTATCTCAGCAGGCAGAGTTAATATTAAAGTAGAAAATGGCAGGTGAATACAATACAGATAACCAACTGGTTTTATTGTCCAACAAAAAAGCTATGACATTTTGATTTGTTCATTTGCAGTGTGGATGGAAGTTATGCTGCCTCAGTTAAGTGTAAAACACCTGACAAAGTATTCCATTTCTTATCTTGAAAATCTCCTAAGGTAACTATTGTTGTGATTGTACATGTACATTTAGTACGTCAGTGACTCATTGTCAGCTTGGGTAGTTCTTCTAGCTCCTTCTTAGTGCAAACATGTAGATCTTTGAAGGGCAAGTCACTTAGGATCTGTATCCTCTATACAGTAGGCCCGGGTTGTTTGAAAGGTGGATAACGCTATCTACCAGATAAATCACTATCCAGTGGATAAAGTGTTAGCAAAACAAACCACGCTATCTACTGGATAGTGATTTATCCGGTGGATAGCATTATCCACCTTTTGAACAACCTGGGCCAGGCCTTTTTCGCAGCATCCATCCAAAAGCAAATCTCAGCAGGAAACAGGCAGTCTTGCTGATCTACAGTAGCAGCATTGTCTTAATCAATGACTATGTAGAGCTGAACGCTCTTAGAATTTCTAATTGACCATCTCCTTCCCCTTGACCTGTTCACAAGAAGTCAGAAGAATGTGTATTAATAGCAACATCAGTCTTCCAGCTGGAAAACAATCAGTATTTTAGTGAGAGTTTTTTGGGTGAAATGTGTTATATCCCCAAAAGGATCTGATTTGATTAGGATTGAGTAGAGTCAGCATCAGTGGCATCAAAAAGTTTGCTGGCTGACATGTCAGCCTGCACATCAGTGCGATTGGATTTGTTACCTTTGAGTAGAGACACAGTGCTAAGTTGCTAATTTCATGATTGGTCTACCTTTCATCCCGTTTTCCAGAGAAAATTTTTGTTTGGGGAGACAAAATATATCTTTCCATTTACATTCCGTCTGAAATTTCTGGAGTTTTTGGGTAAATATCAAACAACCCCAATTTCCATTTTAAACAATTTCTGGGGGAGGATGCCCCTGCACCCTCCTACAGGAGAACCCCCTTCTGTAAAATCCTGTATA